ATTTACTTCCCCCCCCCCCTTGCGTGTTAGGCATAACGCTGCCTCTGAAACAGCCTCTGAAATATCTCGTTTTGTCGCACGCAAGACCAGGCTGGATCCCCGCGCCTGAAAATGCGCGTTTCATTTTAATGTATTTTTTTTCCAGGAGAGGAAAGCGGAGAAAGAGCACAGATCGCAAGGTTTCGGTCACCGCAGTATTCTCGCACGCTTTAAAAATAATCCCCTATGCGGGATTCATTGTGGTTTTTTTTTTTTCGTGTGAGCTCTGGACTACCTCTCTTTGCCTTCTGAGCTTTTCCGGGAAGAAAAAGGTAGTGATAAAACGGTGCTCATAAGTTACAAGCGACCTGGGAGCACTACATGATTATGACTTGTGTATTAAGCAGTGTCTTGACGTGGTTCATACTAGCGAGGATTTTGTTGTTTTGGAATCCGTTCTCGCCGTAATTTATCTACGATTATAATGGAGCACACTGTGCCAAGTCATTACTTGGTATGACGACGCATAAACACTTTTTAATTTCAATGTAATTATACAGCCCAAGGAAAAAAAAATAATTAATCACAGTAAGTTTAGCAATGCCATTGTAGACAAACATTTGATAGGAAGGTTCTTGTTAGAAAGCAGGGAGTGGCTGTTTCTGTTGCTCTTTATCCCTAGAAAGAAATGAAGCTTTGAACAAGCATGGGGAAAAAACCTCTCAGTGCGCGCGTTCCTTCCAGATGCAGAATTTCGATATAAAGACATTGGCTCTGATTTAAGGAAACGTAAATAAAACGCAAAGTAGTTCTGTTACGGAGTACTATGCAGCGATTTGTTTACTTGTCTGGCTTTAACTCGAAAAACACAACGTCCGTACTTCAGCCCACATTTTATGCTTCCTTTCCTCCTGCCTGTATTTTCCTTCCAGTTACTTTTCCTCCCTTCTCTTTTGGCAACCGCCATCTGAAAACACTCTGCAACTCCCCACTAAGCCTCATTCTCCAGACGCGACAGCCAACAAAAGCAAAACGGAAAAAAAAAAACCAAATACGAAAAGGACGGGAGGAAATCGAACCGAGAGGCGAGGAGAAGTTAGGCATGACTTTGGGAGACGCGTCAAGTTTGCAGAGCGTCAGCCTGCTCGCATCAGTATCATAGAATTACGGCGGGTCCCAGAGAGCTGCAATTGCTGGGGACACAGGCAGGGATTTTTTGTCTCAGACAGCTGTTGAGGAGTTCCACTCGCCGGTAAATAGTGTTCGAACGGGGTGGCTGCGGCGCGGCCGTTTCCCCGCACGGCTGCGGCTCCAGCTACGCGGGGCGGAGGAGGGCACGGGAAAAACCCGTCTCCGGGGGCTCTCCCCCCAGGTTGAGCCGGGGAGACCCTCTTCCATGCTGCCCGAACCCCTCAGCTCCCTCTTTTCTCCAAATATTTCCTTTCTCACTGGGTCGCTCTGTTTGCAGGCTGAGGAGCTTCGCCGAAGGGCGAAGGTTTGGGGCACGGGGCAGTGAGGAGCTGGCATTTCGTGCCGGGACTCCCTGCGTCTCCGTTAGCCGGTAGGAAACGCCTCGGTGTTTTGGGAATAATCGACGAGGGGGTTGTGCTTGGCGGCGACTGCCGCGGGAGCACCGAGGGGGGGAACGCCACCCCGACCGGGTTGACGGTGGGG